CAATTGGGGGGCTGCAGGAGAGCTTCCACCCCGAGGAGCCCGCAGAGCCAGCCCAGTCCTCCCCATCGGGGGCTCGTACCCCATTCCTCCCTCACCTCCTTCCACTTACCCTTCCCTAGCCCCCCTTCCTGATGTACAAAATAAAGGACACGTGTGTTCAAAAATAGGAACTGTCTTTATTGAAAAGGAGGTGGGAGAGGGGAAGAGAGAGGCTGGGAGAGGGGAGGGCAACTAAAATGATCAGGGGTTTGGAACAGGTCCCAAATGAAGAGAGGCTAAAGAGACTGGGACTTTTCAGCTTAGAAAAGAGGAGACTGAGGGGGGATATGATAGAGGTCTATGTCTTTATTGAAAAGGAGGTGGGAGAGGGGAAGAGAGAGGCTGGGAGAGGGGAGGGCAACTAAAATGATCAGGGGTTTGGAACAGGTCCCAAATGAAGAGAGGCTAAAGAGACTGGGACTTTTCAGCTTAGAAAAGAGGAGACTGAGGGGGGATATGATAGAGGTCTATAAAAGCATGAGTGATGTGGAGAGGGTGCATAAAGAAAAGTTCTTCATTAGTTCCCATAATAGAAGGACTAAAGGACACCAAAGGAAAGGAATGGGTAGCAGGCTTCAAACTAACAACAGAAAGTTGTTCTTCACAAAGCAAATAGTCAACCTGTGGAACTCCTTGCTGCAGGAGGTTGTGAAGGCTAGAACTATAACAGAGTTTAAAGAGAAGTTTGATAAAGTCATGGAGGTTGGGTCCATGGAGTGGTATTAGCCAGGGGGTAGAAATGGTGTCCCTGGCCTCTGTTTGTGGAAGGCTGGAGATGGATGCACGAGACAAATGGCTTGGTCATTGTCTTCGGTCCATCCCCTCCAGGGTACCTAGTGGCTGGCTATAGTATGTATAGTGATGCCTCACAGTGAAAATGCAATAATTTGATTTAGAAATGAACTCAGATTGCTCACCCCCATATCTGAGACAATAGGGTTGCTTATTCAATCCAGGAGAGGGAACGACATTCTCCATAGTAATGTTATTAGCGTGAATAGCAAAAAGGATTTTGGGCATGATGGATTACTAGGCATATTTGTGGATAGCTTGTAATTGGTGGAATATGCCATTCTGATTTGGTTTTGTTTCTGAAGTTATGAATATCGACTCTGTGTGTGTTTTTGAAACATAGTTACACTTGTGTAATGCCCATCAGGAAACATGCTGCCAGTCTAGGGAGGAGGTTGGGATGGGCCTGTCGGGGTAATTAGGCATTAGGAAACCGATAAACATTAGGGGAACCTCATCTCTCAACTGCTGAGCCATTCTGCAACCTCTCCAGAGACCCTGTCAGTCACGCTTGCTAGGACTCTATAAAGGGAGGGGAGAGTGTCCAAGCCACATGACTCTAGACTCCCTCAAAGAAAGTTTTTATTTGTCTGCTAACTAATCTGGGAATTAACTTTTGAAACAAAGGGTTCCTGCCCCAACTGACTCTCCATATAGCAGAGAGCGAGCTCATCGGTTCTCTTCATTCACCACAGAAGAGGGCTCCTAG